TGCCTGCCTGCCTGCCTTCGTTTCTGGTTGTTTTGGAGCAGCTTCGGCTGAGTAAAAGAGGCGAATAGTTATTATTCCCAGCCAAAGCTACTCCGAAACAACCAGAAATGAAGGCAGGCAGGCAGGCAGAACGGAGCACTGGATTGAACTGCGGGTGGCGGGGTGGGGGTGAACGGGCACTTCGGAGGAGCTGCACCGACAGGAAAAGCCACCCTGCTGGCTTCTTTGAAGCAGTTTCTTCCTGGACTGGTGGAGGAGCGAGAGAGCGACTGAGAGAGGAACGAGGCGGGAGGAAACCGAAGCCACTGAACCGGAGAGCAGGACAGGCTTTGGTTGCTTCCTCCCTCCCCTTCTTTTATTTGTGTCCTTGATCCCTGATCCCAGCAGCATTTACCAAAGGTGAAGAAAGCCACCATTTTTATTTTATTTTTATTTTCTTTGTGGCCCGGTACAAAATGGTCCACGGACCGGTACCGGTCCGCGGCCCGGTGGTTGGGGACCCCTGATTTAACCCACTGAAAAATGTTCTCTTCAGTCTTCAGGCCCTACAATTTTTTTAGTTCAGAAAGGACATCCCTTCATCATAGCTACCTTTCAAACCATTTCTATAGAAAGTATAATAAACTTCAATAAATTAAATCAATTTAAATAAAATTCTCCAGATTTCTAGTATTTTTAAAAAGTAAATAAACTTTAAAGATACATTTCTTCTTTTTTGAAATGTAACTGTTAAATTTATGCTAGCTTTCTGAAAAAAATATTCTGATTTTTAGCATTGAAATATTATCAGTTAAAATATGAGTATTTTAGTAAGTTAAAAAAGAAAGATTGGAACTATAAAAGCATGATTCACATAAACTGTAGTTACCACTGGGATCTGCCAAAGCCTTTGTACACTAGATTATTAAATGTAGATAAGTCTTCAATAGAAGTCTTTTAAGTAGGAAAACTACATATGCAACTGATCACATGCAGAACATCACGTATTTTTCAACTACCTACAAATCAAGAATCAGGTTAGAATACCTAATCATGAAGTTTAATAATACAATATTTCTTCAGAAATTTAGCAATAAACCAGCTCACTATAAGCACTATAAACATTGTAAGATTAGTTAACCAATACTTCAAAACTGCAATCATACACTGAATTACTTGAAACTAAGTTCTATTTATCTACTCAAAAAAATACAAGTAATATACTTGATCAACTAACATACTTTGCCAAATGCAACTAATAGAGAAGCAATTCAAAACATCAAAAGATATTTTTCTTTAATTATATGTTAAATTTTGATGTTTCCCATTTTCTAATCCCAATATTCAAATAATCTTATCTGCTTTATACTCAAAATTATCTCTATTGCATCAAATGTATTGTAGAACATTCTAATCAATTGTTTTTCAGTTACATCATTTGCAGCATCCCCATGATCACATGATCAAAATTTAGATGCTTGGCAATTGACTCATACTTATGACCACTGCAGCTTTCCAGTGCTGTGTGATCACTTTTTGCAATCTTCTGACAAGCAAAGTCAATGGGGAAAGCCAAATTCACTTAACAACCAGATTACTAATTTATCAACTGCAGTGATTCATGTAACAGTTGTGCCAAGGTCGTAAAATGGAGCAAAACTCACTTAACAAATTCTCACTTAACATAAATTTTGGGCTCAATTGTGGTCATACGTCAAGGACTATCTGTATTAAATATTCAATAGTTAAATGTCAATATGAAAGGAATGCACAATGCATTTATTTTATGTTTTACTAAGGCAAATGTCTTATTGATTAGATTCACAACTTGCAATATGCTTTAACATAATTTTTATATTTTACTTACTGTGTGATCCTAGCTATAGTAGCTGGTTCTACAAACCATGGATAAAACAAATCACAGAGACCATGGTATTCAAGTTTAATTTAAACAATGAGAATTTAAAAATATGTATCTGAACAGTTGAAATAAAGTCATTTTATATTATCAGTAATTACATCTACATATCCTATTTTATTTATTTATTTTATTTATATTGCCGCCTATTCGCCCATGGCAACTCGAGGCAGCTTATAACAATGTAAAATCATATTTAAAACAAACAATAAAAATAAAAACAATAAAAATTAACAAAAAGAATCAAATAAATTAATAAAGTACAATAGAACAAAATTTGGGAAAACAAAAAACAAAACAAAGCAAAAAACCAAAAGACAAAAAAACTAAAAACCAACTCCCACCCACTCATCCTGACGACAGCAGATCACACTAGCCATTTGATGGGTTCCATCCCTCTCTGGGTTCCCCAGGCCTGTTGGCAAAACCAGGTCTTCAGTACCTTTCGAAAGAGTATTAGTGAGGGGGCCATTCTAATCTCTGGGGGAATGATGTTCCAGAGAGATGGAGCCAAAACAGAGAATGCCCTTCTTCTGGGTCTCACCAGGTGTATCTCCCTAGGGTGGGACCCACAACATTCCCTGCCTCCTCGCTCTAATGTGTCGAGTAGATGTCAAGAGATGTTTTCTATAACCCTATTATAGGAGAAACAACTTTTTGGTGTCCCAATACTACATTAACATTTGGAGGGACACTGACACTGAGAGCGGTATTACAAATGGGTACAAATGAGCAGTAGTTTTTAATTCAATAACATTACATTAAGCAACACACATTTATGTTGGATCACTAAGTTTTAATTTCTTTAACTTGGGTTTGTCAATGACAACTGGCTAGTTCCAGGCAACATACAAAAAAAAGTATAGTTTACACATAACAGTGGGCCTTCTCTGTTTTGGCACCCAGGTTGTAGAATCTTCTTGTCCTGGAATGACAATGGTCCCATCTCTTCTAAGTTTCCAAAGATCTCCACAGATGGTTACACTTGCAGATCTGGGATTCCAAAGGACTGATAAAGGTTTTAGATATTATTTTGTTGTACACTGGCCAGTCTCATTTGTGAGATAGGTGAGTGTATAAATTGCATAAATGAATAAATAATACACAAAACCCAAAAAATAAAGCAAGCTATTATGTCTTATCATGATCCTGTATTTCTTAACCGAAGAACTTAACAATTTGAGTGTTCTATCACTATTAACACCAAACATTTAAAATACTAATCAATCTTTGTACAGTACTAAATTATTCCTCAGGTATCTGACATTGCACTCAGCTGTCACAATAAGCCAGAAAGATTATGAATTCTGACCATAGATTACTCAAGGTAAGACTTGGTGGAAAAAAACGTGTACAATCACTCAATCTACAGAAAAGCCTCAACGAAAAATCTATGTTTACAATATAAAAATATCCAATAAAAGTGTAAAATATAGGAATGCATTCAGACAAATTATAAAATATGAGAGCAATTTAATCAATAGTTGATGTTCACTAATAATTTTTTGAAATGTTGATAGTTTTTCATGTGTTTATGAGTTCTACAAATGGATGCATTTTATAAATGGGTAGAAAGCCATGTTCTATTCTCCTCCCAACTATATGTAATGAATTGATTTGAGAAACTGCTCAAAGTCACCCAGCCAGGTTCCATGCCTAAGGCAGGACTGGATTCACTTTTCTCATTTTCTAGTCTAGTACATTAACTGCTACACTAAACTGCTTTTAAACTATTAGAGGTCTAAGGAAGGGTGCTTAACAATTTGCTTCAAATACTGAAAACGTTTACACCTTACAGCTGAAAAATAGTAACCACAGAGTCTCTGTACCTGTCTAAAAGTAGAGATGTTCTCAAGGTATATGTTCAAAGTTTAAAAAATAGACTCCAAATTATCAACCATCATTCCCATTTTCCACTACATAGTACCAAAGTACCATAGTGACCAAAGTTTTAAAAACTAGTGTTGTGATTTTTAATCAGTTTTTCAGTTTGACATTATGAGGAAACCCTGTTTGTGGTTTAGCTACTGGGGGAAGGGGAAAGTTTAAGCAAGGAGAGAAGAGTTGACTGACTATACATTTCTCTACAAATGCTTTGCTAAGTATTTACAAACTATAAAGCAATTCATAATTAGTATTACTTACACCTCACACTTCCTGGAAATTAAATAAAGACAGCAAATTGCTGTTAAGAATACAGTATGCTCCTACAGGTACTTTGGAATTCTAGTTTACATATACAAGGTACCAGCTTTTGTGAACTGCAATCCATTTCTTCATTTGCAACAATAGTGTCTTTCCCCAATAGCAAAACAACAACTGCATAGCATTCAAGTAATCAGTTGTCTAAGATATTTTGATACTCTTGAAAACTTTCCAAGAGTTTAAGAGGCAAAAACTGATATTAAGAACACTACATGACACATGCTAATTGTAATTTTTAAAGGCATCTTATTATTTAAAAGTGTGGATAAGGCTCATATAAAATACAGTAATTCAGTCGTCCGCAGAACTACTACAATGTAGGGAGCAAATTTCTGTTATACACAGGGTATCAATCTTTACATACCTACCACATAAGAAAAGGATTACATCATGGTTTAACCTAAGTGGATGCACTAAACAATCTCTCTCACCAAAACCTAACTCCTGTTCACTAAAATGTGACAAGTCTGATCACGTCCCTACATGCAGCAACAATGCAAACAAAGGATCGCTTTGCATTTTGCAGTAAGGAAGAAGAAAATATATTAAATCTGCCCATTTAAGCGTACTCCAGTATCAGCTTATCACAGAGGAGCTGCAGTGCTTATTTGCAGAACGAATGCTTTCAAACCAAAACAAGACCTTCAACACTTCGTCCCGAATAAAAAATCGAAACCGATCAGCTAGAAGTTTGTCCTACAAACATTGCTGGGCCGGAAAGAGATTTTTTACAGCTGCCTGACGAAGTTCTTGAGGCAACAGGGTCTAAAGGCAAGGAGTTATGGGCCTTTTTCACCGGGAAAACAGGCCCGAAAGTAATACTCCACCTGCGAACCAACACTCTCTCTCACACACCCACACATATGGGAGAGTGGGTTCTGCACTGTCCGTTTCTTACCCCGAGTTTCAGGCATCAGGGGGAACGCGATGCTCCGACGCGGACCCCGAACGGCGCTCGCACCCCGGCGGCATAAAGGGCAAGGCGAGAGACAAGTAGGCCGAGCGCTGCCTCTGCGAGCGATGCAGACGAGAGGAGGCTTGTGGCGGGAAACGCAGCTGGGGGGCCGGAGCAGCGGCTAAAGCGGGACCCTCAAAGCCCCGAAATGCGCGGCTCTCCTATGCTGCCTCCCGCGGCGGGGCCTCCCCTCTGCTGCCTCCCGCGGCGGGGCACCGAGGAAAGGCGGGAGGAGGCAGACGGGCTGGGCCTCGGGGCTCCTGCACTCCCGTGCTAAGCGCCGCGCCACCGCCGCGACGTGTTCCTCCCCCTCCTATTTCCCTCACACATCTTCCCCCCCCTTCTCGCTCCCTCACAGAGACAAAAGCAAACGGAAACCGAGGAGGACGAGACAGACCGCAAGGAGCCCAAACCGCACCAGGCCCGACCGAAGCCCTTCCCCGGCCGCCCGCGGATTCCCGGGCAGATTCGTAGTTGGGCCGCAGCAGAGGAGGTGGTAGTGGGGGAAGAATAATAGGGCCGAACTCACCGCATGAATTTTCTTGTCCCGAGGATCCAAGATGGCTGAGCACCCCGCACGGAGGATGCTGGGGGAGCGACCTTTACCCTCTGACCCCACCACTGCCGTCGTGACCCAGCCGCCGCCCGGCAGCGACTACGGGACAAGCGGGAAGACAGACGCGGTAGGCCGGCCTAGGACTGCTTCTCCGACCGAGGACTCGCTCCCGCCGGGGCCCCTGAGAGAAACGAGGCGGCCGGCCGGCCTGCCTGCCTGCCTCGCGCGCGGCAGGATTCGAGATTCGTTCTCGCCGCGCTTTGCCCTGCCGGAGCGGCTGGAAACGGCGACGGAGCCGTCACCGCCGGGATCTCGGGGCCCAACTTCCGAGAGAGCGGCCTTGCACGAACCGCGAACTGATTCCGAGACATCCGGGGAAAGGGGGGGGGAGGGGGCTTTTTTTACACGGTGGAAGGAGGAAGCTGCTGCACTTCACCCGCACACGCTCATTCGGGCCGTTTGGAAAGCACGGAAACGGTGGCCGTGGTTTTGCACCACGTTTAGAGTTGAAGTTGGGGAGAACCCTCCTCCCCCACCGCCAAGCTATACTATTTTGCAGTTCCTATTCCGCAGTCACTTAGGGATGTTTTCCAAGTGACGTTTCTGAACAAGTAAATAACGATCCTGGACTCCCTACAGGTGTATTTCAAGAGGCGTGTGTGCTGCTTCCTCATTTTTGTTGTGCATGTAAGACTTTTGTGTAAGAATGTGACCATGATGTGCAATCCTCAGAAAAACAGCTTGTTAATCGAAGGACAGACATGTATTTTCTATTTCTATCCAATACCGAAGGAGGGATGGATTCATATTCCAATATGGGAATACAGCAACTCCAGTAATATGCCTTCAGCATTGATTAAAATAGAAGAACTCCAAAGCTAAGTCACTGTTGGGGATAAGCTCCCTGTGCCAGTCTATTTTTCACCTCTCATACCTTTGGTATTTGTTGTGAGAATAACAAGGACAGGAGTATTAAATATAACTTCCTAGGTTTGGAAAACCTTCAGTAAATTATAAAGTTCTAGAATTGGGTATGGTTCCTTTACACAGGACATCAGATACAACATTGTATATCCTAAGAGTTGTGTTTAAACTAAGGCCTTAGGATCCATGTGTATGATGATAACATTCTAGTGCCACACTAATTCAGTGTGCTAAACTTAAAGGCAATTTAATTTTTTTATTAGACCAGGCGCCTCTATCACATACATTCTTCAATTCATAAACTGACGTGTAAATCTGGGTTTCTTTCCCAGTGAAAATAGAAATAGTGCACAAATTTACAACTACAGCATCTCGTACTTGAATGGCAGAGTTTTTAAAAAACACCTGAATGAAACAACTCCCACGACCATAATCTTGTAATTCCTGATCTTTGTAGATCATAATACTTTGGATAATAAATTGTTGTTTTTCCATGCCTACTATTTATTCTATATATCAAACTGGTACAAAAATAGCTTTTTTAATAAATGAAACAATTGGAATGGACAAATAGTTAAATTGCAGGACACTGTAATTTAATGTAGTGATTAAGGCACAAGACTAGAAACATACAGTTCTGGTACTATCTTAGGTACTAAGCCAGCTGGGTGTCCTTAGCCAGTCACTCTCAGCCCTAGAAAGGAGGCTGTAGCAAACCATCAGGAAAACTGTAGGAATTTGTCCAAGTAATCAGTTATTAGGAGTCAACATTGCCTCAAAAGCTTAGATACAAATTGTCTAATTAAAGATGTATAAACATTTTGCATTGAAAAACATATTTGCGTTTAGAAGGTTGTCTCTCCTAAAAATGTGTTTAGAATTGCAGTTTTTAACAATGTGATTAAGTTTTATTTGTGTTACCCATACTGAAATCTTTGCATCTGATTGAAGTCAATATTTTTTTAAAAGGAAATTCCTTGCACATCTCTCATTCAGCTTCTAATATGTGTATAAATGATCATCAACCAAGAACATCAAACTTAACTCCTGGTGACTTCATAGACACATTTTGAACTTTCTTGGTAAAACTGCAGAATTGACTTGCCATTGCTTTGTACTGTTTTTTTTTTTCAGCTAACCTGTATAGCCTATTTTCTAATGGTGTTTCATCCAAGTATTACTAGATCTAACCTTGCTTTTATGATCAGCCAAAAGAACTGCCACACCCTATGTAGAAAATGTGTAGTACCAGAAGTAGCATTAATTGACAATTGTGTTGGGAAATTCCCTTACTGAATTTACTTTTTAGGGAAGTATAACTTGTTCTACTTGAATTAGAAATCACAAACTTTTTAGTAGACAATTGTGAGACACATCTATTGTCAATAAAGACAGCAGCACTTAGTTGATCACAGTTCATTCTCCAAAAGCTGAACAGCGTTGGACTGAAAAAGATTGAAAGGTTGAAAAAATATACATAACACTGACAAGTCATTTCTGTGCTAATCACAAAGAAACTATGTAGACTTGTCCGTGTTGCTTCGAATAACTGAACTGAGCTGAAGTCTTAATTCCTGTTTGCTTGATCATTCAGTTCTTTATAATTCTTTGTATACAGTGAGTTAGTGCAACATCTGAAGATGTGGAAAGACCCAGTGCATGGAATAGCCAAGAGTCAGACACAACTGAATGGATATTGTCATCAGTGAGCAACAGTTTTCCAGGTTTGTCTGTCAATATCTGCTTTTCTGAGTATTTGTCAGCTCATGGTCATGATATTAATGATGATAATGTCTAACCAGCTTTTTATTTGTTGATTTCTTTCTAAATTGCTTTTAATTTTTCCAAACATCAGAGTCTACTCAAAAAAATCTTGCTTCTCTATTATGAATCAAAAAAAATTTCACTATCCGCTTGTATATTCTAATCTAATCATTCTAATGAATGATTTATTCATCATTCTATTGAAAAAAATCCTCTCAGCAGTTTTCTCCAGCAACTCCACTGTACAAAGGCATTTTTTGTATTTTTTTCAGATTTCAGGTTTATAACTGGAAAGACCATATATTTACAAATTATTGCCGTCAGTATGGTTTTTGAATAATTTCTAATGGTCTTTGTCTCTAAAAAGCAGATGCCATTCTATTTAATGATTACAGTCTCTTTTGCAGCATTTTTTGTGTCCAGGAAGATAAACTCTATTTCTGCCATCATTTCTTCAGGTATTTGCACTGGACTGATAGTAATAGCTAATTTTGTTTTCCTTCAAGCCACTCTTAAAAACTGCCTGGACAAGTTCCTTCAATTTTCTTGACAACATTTTGGGAACTGGTTTGATGTTTTAGATCTGAGAGAGAATTACTGACCCAGTCAAACAGCTAGATTTCTGCTTAAAGCAGGACTAGAATTCATGGTCTCTAATTTTAACCATTACACCAACCATTACATCACCAGCTGGCACGACCCTATTTTAAAAAAATATTGGGCATAAGAGCAGCTTTTGTAACTTCCACTTTCAATTAGATGTTACTTCAATAAGACATTACTTCAACAGAATTCATCACAATCTTGAATTAGTTATTCCATGTTCTATTGCTTCCTAATCAACATATATATTTTAACTTGCAGATAATGTACTGTAGTCTGATAACTTCTATGTTTTAAAGGACAAATTACTATACATTATAAACTGTAATTCCTACAATTTAAAGTTTTAGTATAATCAATACAGCAAATAAATATATTTTAAATCCTCTTTTTCCTTTTTTATTACCCTATGGAAATTTGCAATGTGATCATAGCTTCACCTGTTTCCTCTGAACTCTTCCCATCACTGGTAGTTCTTGTTCCTTATATTGTTTGTATATGTGCAATTACTTAGTAGTTGAGCATTCTTTAGAACTGCCTTTCTAGTATTGAAATACTGTATATACAGTATATCACAGAAGTGAGTAAACCCCCTCACATTTTGTAAATATTTAAGTATATCTTTTCATGTGACAACACTGAAGAAATGATGCTTGGCTGCAATGTAAAGTAGTGGGTGTACAGCTTGTATAACAGTGTAAATGTGCTGCTCCCCTCAAAATAACGCAACGCACAGCCATTAATGTCTAAACCCCTAGCAACAAAAGGGAGTACACCCCTAAGTGATAATGTCCAAATGGGGCTCAGCTAGCCATTTTCCCTCCCTGCTGTCATGTGGCTGGTTAGTGTTACAAGATCTCAGGTGTGAAGGGGGAACTGGTGTGTTAAATTTGGTGTTATCGCTCTCATTCTCTCATACTGGTCACTGAAAGTTCAACATGGCACCTCATGGCAATAAACTTTCTGAGGATCTGAAACAACAAATTGTTGCTCTACATAAAGATGGCCTAGGCCAGGGGTGTCCAACCTTGGCAACTTTAAGACTTGTGGACTTCAACTCCCAGAATTCCTCAGCTGAGGAATTCTGGGAGTTGAAGTCC